ACCTTATCTTGGACAGACTGTATAAATGTAAATTTCCCTTCAACGTTTTACCAATACTGGAAATAAATATTGTATCAACTTTGAAGTGTGAAAATAATCAATATAATGTCATAATGCCCTATCAATATTATTCATCGATATTCTTGTGAAGTGCTGTTCAATAAGTTGCAGATATTGTTTGTAGATGTTTCTAGAAAATTCGTTTTCAAATGCTACTAGATATTTTCTGATAATATCTACATATATATATATATATATATATATATTGTAAGAATATATGCCATATATATGGTTTCTGGCATCATTTTGAATATGTGTCAATATTTGTTTTCAATGTATCCGTTACATTCAGAATCGAAGGTGTATCAACTTATAAATGAGAGATTGATCGTGATGATTCATTAATATCGTATCATCGTGAATGTTCAATATAAAATAACAATTTTTTAAAGATATATTGTGGAGATTGTTCCTGGATAACCACTCTATATCCTCATTCAATATCTGGATGATGATATTGTGTGAATATCTACCTTAGATATAATTTAGGGCAATATTTTGAATATATAGGTATATTTCACTTCGACATTTTTCGCGCATTGAAAATGAATGTTGTATCAACTTCAAAGTGTGAGAATGATCAATATGATTTATCAATATCCTGAAAAGGCGCTGTTCAATATGTTATAGATATTGTTTGTAGATATTTCTGTAGACTTCTTTCTCAATTGCTACTAGATATTATTCGCCAATATCCACATACATATATGTAATGATATTGGCCATCGATATAATTTCCGACATTATTTCAAATATGTGTCAATATTTGTTATCAATATACTACTTTCATTCATTATCTATCTCGTATCAACTTCCAGTTATGACATTATTCAATGGGATCCATCAATATCACATTATACTGATGTTCAATATGAAAGATATATGTTTTTGTAGATATATCACAATATCTATTCAACTATATTGTCTATATATAAGTTTTCGATATAGCTCTGAGCTTTATTTTTGATATTTGTCAATATTTTTTGTCAATTCACTCCCCACATTGGAATATCATTGTTCCATAAACTTTCGAATACGACATCATTCCATATATGATCATCTATCATCCCAGCATATGGATGTTGGATATAATATTTATATATTCCTTAAATATATCTTGAATATCAATTTTCAATGATCACCACATATTCTCAACCAATATTCGCATAACTATATTTTATGAATATTTTATATTGATTCTGTTCCAAGCATACTGTTCAATATGTGTATATATTTGTTTTGAATCTCCTGTTAATAATATGGATAGATATTGTATCAACGTTTGATTGATAGAAACATGAATATCATCCATCAATACCTAAGCATACCGATATTTCATACGGAATATATATTTCTTGGCGATATGTTTGAGATATTGTTAATAAATAACCCGTCCATATTCCTACCCAATGTCTGAGTTACTATATAGTATGAATATAAGATACTGATATAATTTGAAGCATTCTTTTGAATATGTGTCGATATTTTTTTTTTCAATTAGTCTCAACATCAGTCATGAATGCGATAACAAGATTATTTCTCATTATTGATCTATATTTGGTGTCAATATTTATAATATATCACTACGTGGTGATGCCAAGAATATTGCTCATCTTCAACCTACTATATTGTTGGTCAATATCGATGAGCCATCAGTTACATATATAGAGATGATGAATGATTCTCAATCAACGCACTTCATTGTTTTTTTCATATCAACAAATCAATATTGTAGGATGATTATAAATCAATATTATTTCAGATATTTTGTTGAATGATTTAACAATCTTTTTATGAAACATCGAATCAATATCGATCTACAATAGCATGTTGAATGTTTGGATCCAATATTGTGCCTACTTGATTTCTCGATATTGCGCCAATTTTTCATCTATATTGGTCCAATATCGGCCCAATATGAGTGTGCTACTTGGGAAGAGCCTATTCAAATTTTCCTGAGTCCTTCTTTTTTTATATATTCTGAAGATGTTTGTCTCCAGCGTTTCCTTATCTGTCTTTTCTCTCTGTCGTTTCTTTCGTTGATTGTTTTGATTTTTCCTGCATTTTTTCGTTTGATGGTATCTTTCACGTTCTTTGCGCTTCGCTTCTTCATATAAATGGGGATCCAGTCCTATTCTTTCTCTCTTTCTTTGCTCAGACTCCCATTTCTGTTTTCTTCGTTTATCTTATGATTTTTCCTTTGTATTAACCGTTTTTGCTTCAATATACCTACACCGAATAAAAAAATCTGATGAAATATGAAAATATGATGTGAAATAGAATGTGTGCATCGCTTTTTATCACATTCTGTTCAATTGTAATAATCATCTAAACCCGAGTATCATTGAATCTGAGCACATATGTGATGTGGAATTTCAATCAACGCAATTTTCCGAAGTGAAACAACTCCATGGACTTGTTGTTCAACTCCATGGACATCTAAATACATGGAGTTGATGTCCATGGAGTTGGTGTTCTATAGTTAATATTCAAATATTCACACTGCTATTAAAGCTGACCTCAAATTATTTCTCATGCATGTAAGACATTATTAGTTATACATTACTAGGATATTCAACGAATCTAAATGGACTCAGTCTATTTGTGATCAACGACATGGAGTTGATTGTTAATAAAAATACTCACCTTGATTTCTAACTTTGTCTCCAGAATCCCGAATAAATTGCTTAAAGTTAACACGTTTCCCTGACAATCTTCAACTAACTGCTCTTGCTTGAAATGATGACACCTTGAAACATTACCTCAGGTGACACCTATCGGTAGTTCTCACAAAAATAACAGGCGTCCATGGAGTTGAGTTTCAAAATGGTGTCACATATTATTCATACATTTTACAATAACATTTCGGTGAAACTTCCCCTTTGCTTACACTCTCGTTATTGTTGAATCCCTTGAGAATATATTAACTGAAAAATAGTTCCATAATAGGGTTTATTTAGGGGTTTTTGATTGATTCCATTTCACCCATAGCAGCTGGTTACAGTCCATGGAGGTGATTTCAAAGGAGTTTTTGCTTATGAAAATGGAAAAATATACGATTTTTTTCGTTCTTTTTTCAACTCATGTGAAGCACAAGTCATAAGCTATCATCTTCAATGTTTTTCAAGTTTCAACCTATTTGCTATATATTTTTCACATATGAGTTACATCATATTGTCCCCGTTCTGGAGAATGACCCGAATAGGTAAACAAAAATTATTTCAGCGCATCAGATGTTGAGAAGGGACGTTAAGTGAACCCTCGAGTAGCTCCTATCCATGAGAATGACGATTTAGACGCGACCAAAAGTCATGATCAACTTTTTGAAAATAAAGAAAAAAAAATTCGTGACCTTGAAATACTCGAGCGCGTCAGATTCTAACAATTATGTAGAGGAATCAACAAAATCTGACGGTTTGATTTTTTGTTGTAAACTGAATGTAATAACTGAAATATAAAATATACAGGGTGGAACAGTTTTTTGTAGCAGAACTTGAACAGCTCAAAGAATTCACAATTTTGAGATGGAAAGCTCATGTAGACATACAAGGAGGACCAATAGTGTGGAAAAGTGGGATAACGGCTTTGCTGTTTGAGATCGATGGACAAAAATTCTTGAGATGGTCTAGTCTCATGTGCAGTACATTTCTAAAATATTTTGCGTTATACAAGGTTACTCAAAAATGCGTATCAAAGTTATATTCATTCTTATAGCACACTTTGTATGAAAATACAATGAAGTATTTTCAGATTTCTCCTCATAAGCTAATTCCAACGATCTTTATCACACTACATTTTGAGAGGAATAATCGAAGAGAAATAGGATGCAAAAATCGAGATTGTATTGTATCGATGTTTCATTCGAAATTTTACATCAAATTTGCCACGGGATTCTCTGCGAACCAGCTTACTTCGACGATAATCCAAAACTATTTAACATTTTTTCAATGTTTCAGACGTGAATTTTATTATATTTTCGAATGTTTGTTTCTCACAAAATACACAATTCGAACTATTGTCACTCATTGTTGTCAAATGTCAAAAAATGACAAAGTTCAAGCATTTGAAACAATATACGAAGTGCTCCTTCTATTTCAGTTTCCTACGTTACAACAATTACATACATATTTCCCAGTGGCTGCAAGCACCACACTTAATTGATGATTTCAGCTACTTCGTCTTGTGCAAAACAGCAGATTATGTTATTTCCGTGATCCTTGACTGATTGTCTTCAAAATGAGGAAAAAATTGATCGCACTCGAGAATGCATAGGTGACAATCCTGTTTGCAACTTTTCAGCTCTCCCATTTCTGGAAGTTTTTGATCACATTGTGGCAATTCCACTAAATCAAAAATGGCAGTAACGCTATGTCTGTCACATCGACAATTACAAACTCATTTGAGGTTTGATTGGCATGACAACAATAATCGTTTCCCATCAGGTCAATCCAAATCTATAGGGGGATTTTTGAAATAAACAATTTTTATATTTCAATATTTCTTAATTTCCACTATAAATAGTGCAATTTGATGGATGATTCTGAACATACCTACTTGATACTGCAACAAACAAACTCAAAATTTTCATATTCCATCACCCACCACTTATATTTTGCGATAATATCATATCTTTGTTTTTGCCAAACCAAATTGCGTGCGGGTATTGGTGAATCACGCACGCTTGTAGAAAAAATAATAATATGCTGTCTCTGGCACATAATTTCGTTATCAGATGATGATCGAACTTGGCAGCAGGCTCTTGGACTATAATATGATGTGATACCTGTGTTCCGGCTGAAATGTTCGCTCACGTCGCTTCCTATGGAGTTATCAATTTGCTCGAGTTATTCTGTGAATGAAAATTGTATGATATCAGCGCGATATCATGATCAATTTGTTGATTCTCATAGAATCTAGTTGATGTTATCATACCGTTTCAGCCTCCAGTGCCTGTTGAACCATGGAGTGGTGTCTTGGATGCCACCAAACAAGGGCCCTGTTGTTACCAAATGGATCATATAACTGGTGAAATCAGAGGTTCTGACAATGGATTGAACGTCAATGTATTCACAAGAGAGGTTGGTATTTTTTTAAATTCACTCATCAGAATTGGGTTTATTTTGAACATATATGAAAACAAAGCTCTCAATTGCCTTTCATGGAAGCTGAACCATCCTTTGAACAGGAAGGAAGGAATGCTCGAAGTCATCTCCACAAATTTTAATGATATTTTTAACTAAATCATGAGGGGCTTGTTTCGGTATTATAAAAGACCATCTTCAGCCTAATTGAAAGGTTTGGAGTTGAAGAAATTAGTTTTTTAAATGCTACTATTCCTTGAACTGTCAATGTCCATAGTCGAGAGTTCCAAGGTTCTTCTTGAAGAAATGGACTATGGTTGCTCGACTAGCAGTAGTTGATCTTTGGTAGAAGTCCATATTGCTCAAAGTGGAGTGAATCCTTCGAAGGTAGATATGCGTTATTATCATTTGGGTTCCAAGAACGGCATACTCTGACAACAATGATTGTACCTTGATTATCTGTAGCAAAGCTGGAGAAACTTCGCATAATTGAAATTTCCAAAATGTTCAATGACTATACTTAGATAATAACATCGAATTGATTTGAGAATTGCCGGACTAAGAGGTGTTCCCAAAATTGGGGCAATTGATGCAATGGATAGGGGAGGAAGAAACAGAACGGAATGAAATCACGAATTTTTGTCAGAAATTGAATATTTTGGGAGATAATGAGCCACAAAGTTTGCCTTTGCCTTCATCAGAGGTTGATAACCCAACACAAGCTTTGAGTGTCGACAAGATCACGAGCATCGAATGTATCATTTACTTTTGCAATGTTGCCTGACGTTCAATTTAGTTGATAGATGAAAATGGAGCCAACATTTTTAGAATGAATTTCGAAGAAATTATTGTGATTCATCCTGTCATCGTGTCTCAAAGAACATCTCATCTCATTTACTGCCCCAATGTCGTCACAATCGAAATAAAACCGTATGGTCCAGAATGCGATTACTTTTTATAATCTCTTGAATCGCTGACGTACGTTTCTTTCATGAAAATTCTACAAACTTACGTCTTGAAACTTGATATTTGCTATGGGTTCTCTTCAATCTTATAAAGAGCACCCATTCATTGACCCAGGAGTTCTCTGGAATTTACTAGTATTTCATGAACCTCAATCTTCATTTTTACTGATAATAAATACTCCTTTTATATCGCCGAGCAACTGCGGTCCCAATCGATCCATTCAGTGATTGGAGTGGTTGATATCTAATCATCATCTCACAATGCTTTTATAATGAACTGAAGCACCGTTCAGTTGAATAAAATTATTCACTCTTATTCCTAGAGGTGAATCTTTCAAAATAATGGGGATCATTGTTCAGAAATTGATGAGAATAAACAGCGTTTATTTTTTCGATCAGAATATGGGGTACATATAAATGATTTTTCATCGTCAGGTATATCTGTTAGTTCTTCCATCTGTCTGAGAGTCGATCTCACCTTGTTGAGGAAAATCAAAACTGCCTTACGACCTAACTATCTTGAAATACTTGAATGCGTAACAGTTGTTCTTGCTTTTATAAATACCATCAATCGAATTATAGAAATCGTGCAAAAATTTTCAGAACCGAGAGATATCAATTTCAACAGTTTTTATGAAGAGAACCTATCGAAATTCCACAATCAGACAAGACTTCTTGTTATTGAACTCGTTATCATAGTTTCGAAGCATTCATAGTTCTTCATCACACAGATTCCATGAAATTACAGAAAAATGATTTGTTTTTCTCAAAAACTGAGCGAGATGTGTACGTCAATATTCATTCAAGAGGTGAAAAAAGTTCATTTCTGATTGCAGATGACTTGATAACAGGATGAAACATCAGGAAAGCTATGGCGCGCACTTGTTTTAATGGAAGTATAAACCCTTACCTCTTTGGTGACGTCACTGGAGATATTGATGATGAAACAATGATTTTTTCTCAACAGAAACAAACTGAAAAACCCTGTATGTCGAATGGTTTCAGAGCGTCACTCATCCCAAATAATTCATGCTTTATGGTTCATACCAACTTCCCCTGTATCGAATTGAAGAGGTCTGATTCATGAGGGAATCAGAATGAAGTGACGTATGTCAAACCAATGTTCTCGATTTCTCATTACCATCACTAAAATATTTCCATATTTCACTTTGAAATCGATGATAATGATCAAAACCATCTGAATGATATTCAATGATATTGAGGAACGTTGATATAAACCCATTGAAATGCGTCGTCAAATCCTAAGATGAAAATCTAATAAAGGACTTTGCGCAATTTTGGAAATTCGATAGGTACTTTGGATACTACCATATACTGAAAATTGGGATTCTGTAAGGCGTTTCTGAATGTGTTGTTACATGGTGGATTCTCATTTCCTCAGAAATTCAGTTGAGTCTTGTTTGAACCATGAATTGGATATTGCAATACCTGAAAATCTATATTGAACCCATCATTTTTCTAGTTACCTAGACCTAATTCTCCACCCAAAGCAGTGATGGTATGGATCCATGGTGGTGCATTCTTCGAAGGATCTAATGCAACTGAGGTATTTGGTCCAGAATTCTTGTTAACTGCAGATATCGTACTTGTAGTCATCAACTATCGTTTGGGTTTCCTTGGATTCTTGAAGGCAAAAGATTCCTCTTTGGGTGTACATGGAAATGCTGGACTCAAAGACCAGACTCTAGCACTGAAGTGGGTACAAAGAAATATAAAATATTTCAATGGTGACCCAGGAAATGTAACTATATTCGGAGAGAGTGCTGGAGCTGCCTCAGTTCACTATCAGCTATTGTCAGCATCCACTGAGGGTAAGTCAAATTTCCAGTGTGGCGTGACACCTTGTTTTGATTTCTTTATGTTTGCAGGTCTCTTCCACAAGGCTATTCTACAAAGTGGTAGTGCTCTCAACCCTTGGGCTCAGACAAGACATTGTGCAATAGAGTTTGTCAAATTCATGGGTAAGGATGTGAGTACCGAGAAAGAAGCCCTAGATTATTTGCACAGTGTCCCCGTTGAAGACATATTGGCATATCAAAACAAATACGTAGCGGTGAGTTGATCTTTTATCAAATTCTGGAAATAAGTTTCGCTACGAAAAATGAGAATTTATCAGTTATCCTAGTTCTTGCGATTGAAAACGATTACCTGAGTTGAGTATTTGATATTCGAGAAATCAATATCTGTTGGTTATAGATGAGTACCTGAGGTAGCAAAACAACAATGAACAATATTTTCTGAGATAATTCAAAAATCAAAAGTCAGGTATAAAAATATCTCGAGAATTGAAATGATATTTTCTTGAAAGTATATATTGTTCGAATGAAATTTATATCAATTTCAGTATTATTGATGAATATTATTATAACTCTGAGATTTCGTGAAAACACTTCGATTATCAGCATAGATAGGGAGCACGTTGAAACATCAAGATCCACATATACAGGATGAAGCATATTTTGTGGGCTGTTGATGAACAAATTCATCGATTTTTTTCAGTACGCCACTCACCAGATACAGGGTGTCTCAAATTTACATAAAAACATTTCAACTGCAAATTCTAGGAACCAGGATAGTGAGAAAAATTCATATAAAAATGACCAGAAATGGGTTCCTGGGAAGTTATAGTAATCTAAAAGAAGGCTCAAGATAATGAGTTTCCGAATATATTCTCGAAACCCTTTGTGTGTGCGATAACGAATTTGTAGATGTATATTATTTCTCATGCCTGATTTGGAAATGTTGAGAATTTTCCGAAATTTTGAACAGAGGCGTGAGAAATAGATGGGGTATTTCTTTCCCCAACTTATTTTTCTATGCAATTTCGGTAGTTCTACCGAGATATTGGAATGATACTTCCGTTCAGTTTCCATAGCACTAGCCATTTTCGAGATGAATCGGTATCAAAAGTCTGCTACGAAAAAAAATATTTCTTTCTCTCAATAGAGTACCTACCATAATATTTTCAAAATCATTTTTTTTATTGTTCCTCTCATATATTCAGTCAGACATCACGAGTAGATATTGAAAAAAGGGTGTTTTTTTGTTGTCGTCAAAAAATTCTTGGGAAGATTTGATACCCAGTTATAAAAAGCATCGATTCATTATATCATGAGCTTTACCATTCAATATCCGAAATTTGGCTCACTTGATAACTTTGGACATTCTGTTTAGTCCGCTGAATCAATTCAATTCGAAGCAGCTTGATGATCATTTGACATTATTTGGAAATATCGAATTCCAGGTTTCAATTTCTTGATGAATCAATCATAATCAACAATTTTCACCTCTTGTCATATACATCTCCTCATCATATTGGTTCAAGTTTCACAATGCTTCTGACGAGGCTTTTTGAATCAGCAAAGGGTGAAATTTATAATGAAATTTGAATTTCATACATTTTTTCCACTGTATTTCATCGAATTGTTATCGCCAGAACACTTGGTTAGATAACTAACTCCACGAATAGATTGAGTCTATCTCACTACAGTGAATACCTTTAGTAGTAAATTGTCCTGAAATCACATTCCCAGACAACACAAGTGAATCCATTGGACAACCAATGGATGTCCAGCTATGGATACCCTGGACATCCATTGGATGGACAGCATTGTCCAGTATTTGTCCAATGGACATCCATTGGATAATACATGTCCAACAGTTTGGACATACATTGGAAGTCCATTGGCTTTCCATTAGACATCTGATGGATTTCCATTGGACATCCAATATTTGTCCTTTCCATTGGAAGTCTATTGGATACTCATCAGGCATCCGATGGATTCCCAATGAAGATCCATTGTATGTCCATTACATTTGAAATACCATTGTATACACATCAGAACTCTGATGGATGTCTACCAAAAATCCAACTTATGTCCATTCCAATGATAAGTCTATTGGATACTCATCAGGAATACATTGGATTTCCATTGGATATCCAAATTTTTTCCAGCCAGAACGTAGAAATTAAAAAAAAGTTGTCCTTTGAGGGGATTGAACTCCCGACCCCGCTCTCGTGGATCGACAACGCTAACCTCTGGACCACTGAGCTGTTACAAATATTATAGCAAGTATTTCGTATTCACGGTATTTCACATCGAGAGAAAATGCAATTTGCTGAAGTTTAGCCGCAATAAAGCTTTTACACGGCCCTTATCAAAAGTGTTACAGGGTGATTCATCTTTTTCGAAAGAAACCCGCCGTATAATATTTGCCCATATCGATCTTATTTGCACGGCCTAAATGGTTTAAAATTGAAATTGGATGAAGATCAACTTTAAAATAAGTACCTACCTCTATATAGGTACGTAACCTACAAAAATTATGAGACGTATAAAATCTTGAAAAATAGTACCGAGTGCGAAGTTGTCCGTGATTAATGTTCATATATATATTATATATTATTGGTAAAAATATTTCAATTGAAATAGAAGAGTCATAAATGACACATATATACTTTGCGAAACGATTTCCATTGGATAAGTATGATGGATATCCATTGGCTGTAAAAATTTCGTTGTCCATTGTACAACTACAAAATGGATGTCCATTGTATGTACAAATCTCTATGTCCATTGTACATATACACAATGGATGTCCATTGGACATCCATGGACATCCGGCTACCTAATGGATTCAAAATGGACATCCAATGGATGTATGTGTGTTATCTGGGTTGGAACGTTTAGATCACAAATTCTAGGAACAAAATACTAAAAGAAGCTCACATGAACACGGGCCCAGCCAGAAATTGCTCTCTGAGGGGTTATAGTGGGTTATAGATTTTGGAATCTTCATAAAATGTCCAACATTTAGATCAGGGGCGTGAAAAATTTTCACCAAGTTCATTGTTTATGCACTGTACCCCAGTTTAGTTTCGATAGCACTCATCAGTTCCGAGATAAATCGATATCAAAAGTCTTTCGCGTAATAGAAATGATACTTTCCCCATCAATAAGGTACTTATACCATATAATTTCTCTATTTATTCTTCATATCGCACCCACCATATTTTGAATCAGTGATTAGAAGTACATATCCTGGTCAGACTGCCCGAAATTGCATAAAACAAAAGGTTGGATCAACAGTTCGGAAAATTCTGAACATTCTCGAATTGTTCCATAGAAAGTTTGGTCCATGTCTAAAATCTGGTTATTTTATCACAGAGGGTTCTGAGAATATTTCCAAAAAAACATCAACTCGGGCTGCTCTTTAGTTGGCTATGACTCCCTAGGGGGGCCATCTCTGGACTCATGTTCATATAACTCTCTATATTATTTTTGTTTTTCGAATCTGTGATTTAGATCTCTCTATGTATTTCGAGACACCCTCTATATCTGAACAATCCTTACCTACACCGACTTTAAGTTTTTTGTTTTTCATTTGAAATTACTTTGGACCACTCTGAGATATAGATGATTTTCATGATCTAATCCTTACCTAGTTCAAACATGCATAAACAATTATCAGATTCGCGATTGTTCTGATGATTCGCGGATGATACAGTGTTATTTGAAGACAATCATTAAAAATTCGTCTAATACAAGCTGGAGAGAAAGAAATGAAGAAAACTTTGTTGTACTCTAGGTGTGAAAATTGTGGAAAGTAATATAGGTATAACAATCAGTATGGAGCGGTTTCCAATATTTAGGTTTTTATATCACTGTGGAGGTTGTGAAAAGTTAATATTGGGTTTTCGAACTTGAGTTGGCACTATCGCTATCGCAGTTATTATTGGAGCTACGAAATCGGCTATAAATTGGCAAACTAGTAGATTTGTTTTTGCTGATAACGATGATGAAAACGAAAGAAAACATCTACAAATTCGTTATCGTTAACGATCAACACAAAGGGTTTCGAAAATATATTCGAAAACTCATCACCTTGAGCCTTCTTCTCAGAAAACCATTTCTGGTTATTTTTATATGAACTTTTTTCACTATCCTGGTTTCTAGAATTCGCAGTGGAAATCTTTTTATGTAAATTTGAGACACCCTGTATTGTCAGGATCTGGTGGGTGGCGTACTGAAAAAAAAATCGATGAATTTGTTCATCAACAGCCCACAAAATATGCTTCATACTGTATGTAGATCTTGATTTTTCAACGTGCTCCCCATCTATGCTGATAATCGAAGTGTTTTCACGAAATCTCAGAGTTATATTCATCAATAATACTGAAATTGATATAAATTTCATTGGAACATGGCGCTCACGAGTTATGTCAAAATATGCGATTTTATTAAATGTGACACCCAGTATACAATATTCTCGATCGATGAGGAATTCCATTCAGAACACTAATTGCCTCATTATCTTTCATCCTGAATTCAAAAATAAATAAGCTATCGACGATTTTTATTTATTTCATGGTAAGCTGAAGCCTTAATAGGCTGAAGTCACTATGAGTATTACCTTGATCTACTTCGACTAACACAATCACCTTGACAAATTTGAAAAATTGGCGATAGCTTCGTCATTTTTGGATTAACGATGAAATGATTATACTATAATTAGCTAACTCAATACCCCTTTGCACCTATAGCGAACGAATTTTTTTCATGATTGTTAGTGAACATCCGATCATTTATGTGGACATGAAACGGAGATGGAAAACAAGACATTTTCTTCCACTCATTCTCTGCACGGTTTTGAGAGACCCGGTGGAATCATTCTTCACGATTTTTTTATGCCAAAAAACATTTGATAATACCTATAGACAAACCATATTATTATTGAAATGTCTTCCAGAAGTACAATTCTCAAAAATCAAAAATGAGTATTACTATTCAAGTTGTTTGAAGCGAGAGTCATCAAATCTGAGGATGTTTATTCAAACTTATTATCATACCAATATAAATGATAATCAAAGTCATATACTTCATCGCCTATGTTATATCATAGAACTATCGTTCCAAAACTACACCTACACATCATCATTTGATAATTATAATTCGATCAGAATTCTATCACAACTTCCTCGAAACAATGATTCTAGAATACGTATATCTTATAATAACAATATATTTCCTCTAGCACAAAATTATATCAGAGATAAACAGCGTGTTTGATAAAAAAATAATAGCTGATACTTGGGCATGTCCCTGAGGACTCATGAATTCTGTTCATTGTACATATCTGAAAATGAGATATGGGAATATGTAAGAAATTAAAATACAATATCTGACCGTTTTCACAATTACTGTAACTAGCTATTTCATTATTGTCTAATACATTCTCACCGTAGAATCGATTAGGTGAAATCAAAATAGATACATACATATAATTCATGAGCAATCGATGTGTAGAACGGGACTTGTTCATTGTAATTAAATGAAAAGTAATTGAATCAATATTATATAATACTCCTACAAAAAATATATACAGTGTTGAAAAATATGTGGCCAAACTTCAAGGTATGCTCATAAGGGTGATTTCAGGACAAGTAATTTATATAGACATCTGAGATGCATTTCTTCGAATATGTACAGTGTGACCAAGATTAAGTTAAACAGCAACAGGATTTCGGAAACGAGAGGAGATACAAATTCTGTTGAATAGGAATGAAGTTGCGAGTTCCGAGGATCATACCACCGCATTCGGAAATTTTCAAATTGTTCATAGTTTATCAGGTATATTGTGAAGAGTGAACATTTGAGAAACCTATTTTTTTTCTATACGTTACTACCAGAGATAGAGATAAACTGAAAATAAATTTTCTCTCAACTCTTGATGAGACTTAACATTGGGATATTGACTTCTCTACGCGACTTTTCGTATACGGTCCTGATTGGGTGTTCACAGATCGTGCAAGATTTTTTTTATTCTGAATTCAACCATGTATGTGGTTTTGATGTTTTTCTTCCTGGTTGAAGCGATCCTCAATGTGTTCTCTGAAATTTCGAAGAATAGATACCATCAGTAACATACTCATTTCTGATTAATCAGTGTCAAGCATCGACGAAGTGAGTTATTCAACACTAGGAGTTGGGAAAATACATATTTCATGAATTATTCAATACAGCGCTTCAGATTGTTTCATGTTCATTGGATTCTTACACGAACTATCTTGGTACCTAAACTCATTCTTCAGTCACTTGGCCGACGCGATCCCTGATTGGACACCGCTAGATAATTTTCTCTGGAAATACGTTAGAAACTAAGTTTACACAAATAGTCCTGATGACGAAGAAGAGTTAAGAAACCGAAGCAATATATACTACGGTATCATCCAGAAATGCTCATAAAAATGTCTTAGAAGCAGTTACTGCAAGAAGAAAATATCTTTATTTCGAAACTATTGGTTATAATGTTGAACAATTAATATGACTGTTATTTTTTTTCGATAACTGTTCGAATTGTCAAAGTCGAGTTATGGAGGTAATTCGTGTGGGAATCCATTGACTAAAAATAATAATTATTGAAGGGGCGCATTGAATTATTTCGTGGAAAATTGTTCAGTAATGAGTCACGTGAAACTGATGGTATTGCCTATTTGCAATTTCGAAAGAATATTGATGAGGTCGAAACACATTCTCGGCATTTTCAATAGTACATTGATGAATTGAGAATAAAAAAAGGTTTCAGGATATTCGAACACGTAATCGGGAATGTATTCGAAGAAAAAAGTTGGTGATGGATCTACGAATACGTTGAATCTCATCGAAAGTTGCTATGAAAAATTATTTCCAGTTTTTCTGTATCTCAATGACATACAAGAAGAAATAGATTTTCTGAAAATTAACTCCTTCCGATATAACAGGAAAATCGAAGACAATTCTGAAATTATTGGCCGTTGGCATGACTTTCTGAATACGCCACTTTTTTTCATTCAACCGAATTCGTATCTCCTCTTTTTTCCGAGATCCCCATGCTGTGCAACCATCACTTTTATTCGAATTTTTTTGCCTCACAATTATGCGGATGTCGATAATTCAAATTATCTTGAAGTGGCGATATTTTCTTCACCCGTTATTCAATTTTCGAGATGAAATCTTCGATTTACTAGAATACTTGTGGAACATACTCTATTGATGTTCTTATTATCTATTTTCCAGTCTGTAGGAATATCGAGGAGGTGGAACGTGAATTTTTCCAGATACTTCAGGATATTCTCCTCGTTTCTGTGGAAGAAAATACAAAAAAGTTCAATGACGATTGTCAAGAGGAATATTTCCAATTTTCGTTATGGAAACGGAAGCAGATTCATTTTCAGAACGTCCAAATCTAAATGAAAATTTGATATGTTCTGATTTATTATCCATATTCGTCTTCCTCAATCATTCTTTAGAAGAAGGTGTCATTGACAATCGATTGAATTCTTCTCTCAGGCTCTCTAATACCAAAAATGTCAAACTTAGTGACACTACGAAGTTAATCATTTGATTAATTTCAACTACACGTATAACATTCGAAATCACCTCGTATATGTATCAAAAAGATTATGAAATCTTGAAAAAAAATTTTTCATTAGACTCTCTTGTTGGTGAAATGGAACGAGAGCTTTCCTATTGACATTGTCCATTTTTTTATTATATTCAAACGACTCTCATTTCAAATTCACCATAGGATGATTGAAGGAGATACAATATTATACAGGAAAAAAATCCAATAAAGAAATAACAAGTGATAGTTATGAGTTGACCAAGTATCATTTGTTATTTTTCCTCTTTTCCCATTTCAAATTCTTTAAATAAGCAATATCGATCGGATGTGACATTGCTTATTCACTTTCGAATAACTATATGAATTCGATAACAACATTTTGAACATACTCATTCATTTCTTTCATTTATATTTTCAGTCCCATGAAACACGGATCGGTCTAATTGGTCCCCAAGTAGAGACACCAAATGGAACGGAAGTTATCTCAGAACGTCCGATAGATCTCCTCAAATCAGGAAAATATCAACAAGTTCCATTGATGATAGGGTACAACTCTAAGGAAGGTTTGTTGGCAGTCAATAGTGATGGTATGTTCCACACTCCCTATCAGGATGAGGAAAAACATAATTTGGATCTATTCATCCCTTGGTTTATGGATATTCCAAAAGGATGTTCAGAAAGTAAGCAAATTTGTGACAAATTTGCTAATGTCTATTTGAATGGAGAAAATGTTCACGATAAATATTTGGTGAGTAGTCGAGGACAAAAATGTAGTTTTATAATGTCTATAAGTACTCAGTTATTTCAAACTACATATTATACATGTATAGAATAATCTTTGAACGTGCGGGTTGGGAGCTCAGTGATATCACCTCGATAGAAAAATAATGGATCTTCTGAATGAACATTTCTGAGAAATGTAATGAAAATTATAATGAGGGATCAATACACCGTATTATTTCTTGGATACCTACATCCTTTAGGAATCAAAATAAGATTTTACAACCATTCCAGGTGTACGAATTCATCGTATACAGGCAATATCTCTCTGATTCGAGAATATAATTGGAAGATGAAGAACTGCTTCAAATGGCATCGAATAGTTCTTTAATGATATGAAAAAATGTATAACATATTTGACAGCCCTGTTATTGGCAGAACAATCATACATCCTGTATCAACTCCGTAGATTAAGTAATCATTATTTTAGTGGTACATGATGTCATTGTCAATTGTTCAATAAATAAATAAAATAACTTTTCAATCACTGTCTTCAGAAATATAAAATATAATTTTTATCCATTGAAGACGTAACAGTTTTGGCGACGAGGTAATGGAAGAATTCAAAACAGCAATACTCGAAGTCATGAAGACTCAGCAACATATTTTTCTTGACCAGCAGCAAAGACTTCTGGATCAGCTAGCCCAATCATTTTCAAAAGTTAATGATAATAGTGAGGTACGCATGGAGTCACTGGCAAGTGCAATCACAGAATTCGTTTACGATCCTGATAGTGGTTCAACATTTGAAGCATGGTATGTTCGATATGAAGGCCTTTTCATGGTTGATGCCAAAGAACTCGATGAAGCAGCGAAGGTTAGGCTCCTTCTACGTAAATTGAACACCAGTTCTCATAAACAGTACGTTGATTATATTCTACCGAAGGAACCGAAAGATTTCAACTTTTCTGCAACAGTGGAAAAGCTGAAGAAAATGTTCGGACGTAAGATTTCACTTTTCAACACTCGCTATAATTGTATGAATATGACAAAATCAGCTTCTCAAGATTTTGTTGCATATACAGCCAACATCAACAAGCAATGTGAAGAGTTCAAGATCAACACTATCACAGCAGATACATTCAAGTGTCTCATATTCGTTTGTGGTCTGAGATCTCCAAAAGATGCAGATATAAGAACGAAAATGTTAGCTATGATTGATGCAAAAGCAGATGGCAACATTACTATTGATGACCTAGCAGTTGAATGCCAACGGATGATCAATCTCAAACAAGATACTGCCATGGTGGAAAATCAAAATTTCACAGCTGTCAATGCAGTAAGTCATCACAATAAGTCACAGCCGCTGTCAACACATGAGAAAAACTCAAGTGTCTCAAAAACACCTTGCTGGTTTTGTGGACAGCTACATTATGCACAGTTTGGTTCTTTCAAGGAACACAAATGCAAGCAGTGTGATAAAGTAGGTCACAAAGAAGGTTACTGCGATGTTCGCAATAAATCATCATATAGATCCAAGCAGAGGGGTCATCATCAGGTGAATACTCTTTCAAGTGTTAATCAAGTCAATGCTACGTGCAAGAGAAAATTCGTTGATACCAGGATCAATGGAAAATACGTCAAACTACAGTTGGACACAGGTAGTGATATAACGATCATTTCAGAAGAGTCATGGATCCATATAGGAAAACCAAAATACATCGAATCTGATCATTTAGCAACTCCTTAGCTCTTATCTTCAAATGGCACCCTCTATATAGAAAGTCAATGAAAATTGCGTATCATCCTATCGGGAAAACGACAATAGCACATAATTTCTAGGCAACTTGTTTATGAATAACAATAACAATATTGATATTCTGTGAGTTTTTCACGCTACTTGGATGAAAAATTGCCTCCGCCCATGTTTGCAATAACTTCGCAGAAAAGAAGTAGATTTATTTCTTGTATTGAAAAACGATGATTTTGATGCCGAAACAATCAAAACAGATGTCGTCAAATGTGAATTTTTTTTATATGTCATTCTGAAAGTAATGTTCAATGATTTTATCAAATATGCGGGATATTGCTTGTATATGATAACTCGGTACAAACCGGTATATTTCAAATGATCATTTTTTCAATTCCATTCCTCACGCTGGCTGGAATCAGAGACGCATTGAAATCTTTCAAAATTGCGCAATTCCACGCCTGACAAAATATGGTTTTCAAACTTGGAGAATTCCGAATACTTTCGGAGATATCTGAAACAATATCAAGATTTTCAAAATTTTTTTCAAGTTATATGGGGAAATATCACGGAATGAATGAGAATCCTGTCTCTCATTGTGAATCAATTGTCTTGCCGTATAGCAATACCACTCATCCTGACGAACTCGTGGTGTTGCTTATTGGCAACACGCTTTCGTGAACGAGATAGAGACTGAATTATCTCGAAACTTCAGATCATCGGGATATGACTGTTGAAAATATATCCCCTGCATGTAGAGGTTTTTAAGCACAGAGTTAACTAGTAGTAACCACAGAAGGGGGAAAAGCACCCCGCACTGTGGACAACCTTTTGCCGATCTGAACCTGATATACTCTCCATGCAGTGATGATATGACCTACCGAGTCGCAATCATGGTTTCGATCGAGTCGCAGATTTGACTTCTATTACCACTACCATACATTGACGTATATATTGATTGTGGTAGGAAGTGATTGAACGCTCCTAATTTGTCCAGGAAAGCAGCCAGCGAAATGTACGAGTTGACTGATAATGAATTATTGGCATTCAATAACTTCATTGTGTCGTCAGGGACCTATATCAATTTTCGCAAAACCTCTCACGCTTTCTCATGTGAATGATGCGTGTATGCGTTTTCCAAAATTGTTGAATTCTAGAGCTCATTTCAAACCAGACCACAGAACTCCACGACACACCACACACTAACGATAACGAATGCATTTGCAAATATGTTCAGATTAGTTTTTATGTAGTCTATGGCCCTCGTTTACTGCGTACAAGTGGTAGTGTCGTCTCCAACTCTGACATTTTTCACTCTCAAAAAAGAAATTCCTTTCAGACAAGAACTCTTCACACTCTTAGGAAGTATCTTGATTTCTTGAAATAATGAGAGCAATGTCTTTCAGACAAAACTCATGTATGATATTGGAATAAGACATATTTTCTTAACACAATACAAACAATTAGCCAGTTTCAACCTATCACTGTTGAATCAGAAGGAGAATGATGTTTTTCTGTCAAGAGCGATATAAATCCTCTCTTTAAGATTCTCAAGTGTATTGTTTGAAACTTTGAGACTTGCATTGGAATAAGATATTCCAACATAGATCAAGTTCATTGAATTATCAATGGAAAATATTCAATTTTGTCACTTCGAAGTGGTAGTCCGTTTCGAAATGAAAATCACCGATCTTGTTTCAAACTCTTTTGAGTTCAGACAAGTCATTCGACTGTTCTGTAAAACTAAATGATCAAGAAAATACTGTTCTTGATTCGAAAAATTAGGTCCGTTCAATTGAATATGGAGTTTCAAATTTGAAGAAGTGAACGCTTGACCAAAGATAATATGTGTTTTAACAAGTGCACTATTGTCTTTTCGACATTCACTTTCCACTGTGTACGTATGAGTTTCTGTACCCCCACGGGGACCAAGAGCTGGAGTGCAAAAACATCAAGGGTGAAGAAAACTGTAAATATATGATGATCTGAGTTATTTCTGATGAATATGCAAGTCCCAGGTTTGATTCCTGTACTGCAGGGAATCAACTCATAAGAGTAGTTTCTCAGGCTGCTAATTCGGCCTGTGTTGGAAATTCAGGGTTCCTGGAAAGAAGCCACATCAAGTTTTTCTCTGGCTAACGTCCTACGGAGGACGGGAGAGGCCGCTTTGGCAAGTATTGATGGTCGCCTGAAGAAACAAGATTTGGGTAGTCATCTCCTCTACGAAGAAGAGAAGCAAAGAGGATTACTATTTCTTCTCAGCCTAGGAGCGCCCCGCTTCGAATGAGTTTTTTCGCTTTGCCTGTTAATAGTGATTCGGTTTCTTCTGGAGATTCGGCATCGTCCCCGAGCATGAATTCGCTTCTCAGATATTTCATTTACGTTATTGTGTCTTGCGATTCTGCTAACAGTCTCTGGATGTGCTCTCGATGTAAAAGTTCTCTTCGTGTTCTTGAACCAGAATGGCACTTGTCCAAAACCAAGACATGGGCAGAAGTTTAGCCGCTCTTGTTTCTTAGTGGATCTACCGAACTCTGAGGATGTACACGTTTGTGCCATACCTGAACATTCCTTGTGTAGTGAATTCCGCTCCTGGGTGCGCAGTGTATGGTTCATCTTGCGTAGACGGGTTCTCATCATTTCCCCTGTCAGTGTTCAAGTGAAATCGTGGGTATCTATGAGGAGTATGAGGAAAAGGTATTATATCCATATTTCTGCCGAACTTTTGGAAGTTATGGATGTTTGGAAATATTTTTGCCGGCATTGATTATCAAAGTTATGCCGTTCTATTGATGAACAAGAACTGGTGATGAGTTTCATGACATATATCGAAGTTGATAGATGGATGTATGAATGATGTCTGATAAATTTGTCCGTGAAAGCACCAATATGAATGTGAATAGTCTCCGACTCCCTCATGTTGTTTCAATAATGTCATTGAATAAGTGGATGTTACATCACCAACTAGGTGAATGGCGCGTATCTTGGTGATAAAAAATAGCTCAACGTATGTTTGGGTTCCGAACCCCCATATGTACCAGAATTCCACCCGTACTTTGTAGATCATGAGGAGCTGTTTTTGGAATCCACTCGCAAATATATCAATCTAAGCTTTCATCCCTTGAATATAATAGGAAGTATTATTATAAATGATTGAACATGTTTTTCCTGAATGTGTTTGTGCTCATAAATTGGCCATAGACCTTACGAGAGATCCTCTAGTTCTCGTTTGTTTCACGAGACACCTTTATTCGACTCCATACGCCACCCTGAAAATAACACTCTTTAACTGAATGCCACAGTGAAACACTCGAATTGATATAATATGACCGAACCTTCCACATCTGGAATTTAAAACACGATATCCAGATTTAACGATGATGATTACTTTTTCCTCACTTTTTTTTTGTTTTCAGTTACCATCGGATTTCTACTTCATTGCTGGTATCATAGCAAGTGCAATGCAACATGCGAAATCATCAAAGAATCCAGTATATTTGTACAGAATGGACTTGGACACTGACATCAATTTCTCGAAGGTTTCGGAAAATATCAGAGAATATCCAGGTGAACAATTGTTTTTATATCAAGTCTGATAATTGCATGAAGTGAACGTATAGGTGTATCAAAATAGTATAACTGGCAGTCACTGGCTACAGTGTTTCATGAATGACGATATTAAATTCTTTATTTCCGTGAAGAGTTGTCTGAATTGACTATCAAATAACCGCAGTTATGATCGAAATTCAAATTTCAAAGATACTTATCAAAAATAAGTTGTGATGAAAAAATATCGTGAAAGGTGATTGTTGAGAGATATATATGGCGTTGAATGCGAATATCCAAAGTGATCATTCGTTGGATGAATTGTCAGTAAAATTTTGAGGTACCTGAGCGTGAAAAAATTGGGAGCATTATTCAGTCGATTAGATTTGATGTGGTTGGTAAGTGGACATTAATGTGCAGCCGTGTGGCGTTCAGATGAGAATAACCAAACGGTTAGTCCTGCCTGTAGTACAAGGAGACTAAATATCAATATCACCACATTGACCTGAGGCGCTGTGGAATACGTTGCTAGTGACCTGAGGCGCTGTGGAATACGTTGCTAGTTGATGGTTCGGGCCAACCAAACCCAATCCAATTAACTTTTTTTTTCACGCCAAACTGATTCCTGTCCAGAACAGAAGAAGCGCTGATGAGTTCTCTTGCAGCAAAATTATTATATTATGGCTCGTACACTTCAAGCAGAAGCTTTCGCCATCATTCACAGCCTGAATCAGCATATCAAGCAACCCACACGAATTCCCGATTTCAGTAACCATTCAGCCAACACACTTGACTTATTTTTCTCTTTCAATTCAGCACCGTACACTATAGATGTACGAAACTCACCTGACAGTTTCGACCATACACTCATTTCTACAATCTGCCAATCTATCATTTCATCAATAACTCCAGCATCCTCACGTCTTTGTATGTCCAATTTCTGAGATCATCACGCTTGAAATGGATACAAAGAAGCCTCATTTCCCGGCAATATTATCACCTTCGAAACCCTTGTTCAATAAGAACTGTTCTAGAACGATTGCATATAAACAAACAGCCTTACATCGTCGGCGCAAAAACCCTGATCTCGTTGCTGAAGCAGATTATGTTGAAGCCAGAAATAACAGCAGTTGAATGAAGACCACAGGACAGAAGAGGAGAATGTCACAGTAGTCTAACATTATTTCAGTATAAAAATAAGTCCATAGCAATAACGCAGCATAGTCAGCTAACGCTTAATGCGGAATGTCCAGAGTGAAAAGAAGATACGGCCACCTATTCTTCATCTCTTGGAGCGTACCAAAGGAAAGGGAGGATAGGGAGAGAAGGTGGGTATTTTTTCAACTTTTGGAGATTAAATGTTCTTGAGAATACTCTGTTAGGCAAATAATCCCAAAGCTCTGCCGTTTTATGTATAAACTAGTTTTGGTAATGAGTACTGGGCTTGTCGTATACGTCTGAGTGATGGGAATAAAATAATGAGATTGCTTCATGATGATTCCTACCCATTTCGAGTAGAATTTATAGGAAATGATCAAATTGAAGAGATGCTAGCTGTACTATATTACAATTTACTGCTCATTAGGTAGTCAGAAAAGAATGGAGAAATGTACCAGAGCAGATGATTGCGAGTGAACAATTCAGTTTTTTGACAATTCATTTGGACATTCCCCATCTTTTCCTCGATTCTTTGGACATATTTTTTGTTCCGATGATCTACTCTATTCAAGTACGACTTTCATTCTTTGTTGTTCAATTTTATTGTTTATTAAACCCCATCAAATGAATTCAGGTGGTTTGATTTCAGTTTCCCTCAACTTCCAAAAAAAAAGCTTTTTGTGACATTTCCCTTTTTTCCCCTGTGGTCTTCAAATGATAGATGCATCAACAGAATCATACAATGCCAAGATAAGATCAGAACTCATATATTGTCCCAATGGATTTTGTTAGTCAACCTCGGAAGATGTCGAACAGCACTTTATCAAAACTCCTTCATCCATAGAACGGCTAGGCCCTGGAATTCTTTGCCTGAGAAAGTATTCCCAACAACATATAATCTCCAGGAGTTCAAGAAAAAATCCAATACCTACCTCCTCTCCCTATCTTCCCTAGGAACACACGATGTACTTTGAACATTATAGGGATTTCTTTTCGTGCGCTCCAAGCGATGAAAAAAATCACTGTTCAAATCCGACGGCACATTAGCATCAACATCGTGAGAGAGAGTGCAAACATTTCTGCAGAGACTTTCGCAGCCGATTCTACCTCAAATTCCCAGCGAAGATTGCCGCCAGATATCAAACCCGTTGAAAGTCGAATGCCCGAAATCTTCTTTCGTCAACTAACTATCATATGCATTCTGCTTGGTCTCAAGACAAATAATGTCAATGGTCGTGATAGGATTCCACATATCATTCTCAAAATATATGCACCAGAATTGACCTAGATTTTCTGCAAGTTATTCATTATTTCGTACAATTCGTATATTTTTTATTTTGCTAGAAAATAGCTGGAGTGCCACCAATCTCCAAAGCCTGCCAAACAAATATCATAGGCCCGTGTCCTATTATCAGTCATTTGCAAAGTGATAAAAAAAACATATCACTGGTACGAATGATTTTTTTGGAAGTTCCAAGCTCATCAAGATCAGAGTTCATACAAGTATACTTATCCTATACATTTCAATTTCCACTTCGATACTGAACATATCGGTAAGGTGTATTTTTATATCATAATACATCATATTATTCTATAGGTATAATGTCAATTCTCACTTTCAGAGGATTTCGATTTTTCATGCTCTCTTTTTGGATATTCAACAAATATAATTCAATATTGAATATTCGCATATAAAGCATATCTTAATATGAAGGAGAATGCAAATTCTCTACTTCAGAGGATTTTGTTTTCAAATTCTTATTCGTGTGTGTTCAATAGATCGTGGCATATAGCCAGGAAAGTAGTTGTTTTCTGTTGAATAAACCGAGAAAGAATTAATATTCTCATCACATGGATAATGCGAATTCTCAATGTATTTCTTCTTTGTGTTCATAAATATATCTGAAAATGTTCATTTTCAATATCAACATTGAGCTCAACAAATATCTGTTAGTTGTCAACCTTCAGATATGTCGAACAACACTTTACCAACACTCGTTCTTCTGTACAACGGCGGAAGTATTCCAAAGAACTCATAACCTCCAATAGTTGAAAAAAAATCCTCTTCCTATCGTTCCTAGGTGCGCACGATGTTCATCGAACATTATAGAAATTTCCTATCAGGAGCCCGAGGAGAAAAATAAACTGCGAGAAACATGGAGGACGATTTTATTTTTCGTTCACATACTCGATGAGTTTGGAATGTATCACTTCAGAATCTCGTTATTTTCTGCCTTGTAACAATCACACAAATCTATCTCTTCTCGATATACTCAGTGAAATAATCACCACCTGTGATAGATGGATGCTATTAATTCTAGAATGCCCTGTATAAACTTCCAGGAACGCTATATTTCGAGAACATAAGAACTTGAGGTGCATTTAGCAGATATCAAGAATTCATATTTCTCATAAATATTGTCCAGCAGCATGTAATGAGTGAGAACAACATACAGAGTGAGTCTGAAATTCGTGCCAAACTTGATGAAGGTGATAATATTGCTACATTGAGAAACACATATAATAGGGAAGATAAATCCTGCCAAAGTAGATAGAATTGAAATGATTCTCCCTCATAACCTCTGAACGGAAAGAGCCATTAATATGAAATTTCCTGCATGCTTGCATGTTTATGAAATGAATCTGTCTGATTTTTCGAAGTCTCCATCTTTCCTCGTATTGTTCTTGGTGAACAAATGGAAGCAATTGGTAGAGCGAGAAAAATAACATAATATCGGTTCTCCTATCAAAACGAACATTGTCACCGTTTACGAAATATACGATTTTTTGAAGTGAAATGATATCAGCAGATGTATTCATTAACATCGAAATCACGAGAATATCTTATTCATCAGATGAATATTTGTTCCTAACAAGAAACATTTGCCAATAAGTGATTATACCAGAAAAACTCACATCTCCAGTTTTGTCCAATGTCAGTTATTCGAGAGGAATTGCTAATGAAGAATCTCTTATTTAGCAGGGAGATTCATCCGAATGAAAAATAAAAAAATTGAGTGTTTTCTAGCAACATAACATACAAATCAACAACAATTATGATTACCTTCATAGATGATTTCGTATTTCTTGTAGTATGCGAAATTGATACCTCAATATGAATTGTGATTTCTCCAGACGAACTGATTCAGTTCAGTCCAAGTGGAATGTGTAAGTTTGTTGAGAATGGAAGACTACTATAATCAGGCTATATTCCGAGTTCAACTGTTCAGTACTTTGAGTTGATCCACTCACTTTACTGAAAATCTGTGTTCCGAGATATAGAATCAGAAATAGAGTGCTGTAATTTGAATCTGTTTTTATCAGTAATCAGCAGCAGTTGATAAGCTGGTGGAATTTGTCAGTTATCAGGTTGTCACTTCTGTTGTTTCTCGTTTATCTGGCCAATTATTTCAATAACGGGCATTCTCTGATATTGAAAATTATATTATCATTTTATTTTTGATAAGACGAGACTAAATGTTCAAAAAACAACGGATTTAAATGTGACTCCTCTTCCTCCTCTTGAATAATGACAGTTTACTGAAGACACACTACATTTTGATAGTCAACAATTTCAGCAGAATGTTGAGTCGAAATATTTTGAAAAAATAGTATGTCTGCTCACAACTATCTGGCACTTTCAGTTAACTTTTTTTTATCTCGGAATGAAAAATCAGCAGATTTGGTACTGTCACTTGAATGCGGAATATAGTTATAGTCTATTGTGAGTCAGGCACGTCAATCTTGAATAATCTCCTTATCGACTTCGACAGGTAGTGTCAAAATTTAAAATTCCAAACAATCTTTGTCAGTCTCTCCCCTCACGATGAGCATACTGAATTACATAATTATGTATAACAATATCAACACAAGCAGAAAAGAGCTTCAGTACATTGAGCTACGTGCTCATCTTTTCAGTCCGAAAACTCGTAAATTGAGTTCCCAATTCAACTGGTTAGTAGTGTCAGTAAATCCATTGACTCTGCTAAAAATCTGTGTTCAGAAAAATTGAATAAAAGATACAGTGCTGTAATTCGGAACAGATTTTCGATGGTTTTTATCAGAAATCAGCAGCAGTTGATCAGCTGGTGAAATTGGAATATCATTTTCAGCGTCAACTATTTCGATAACAGGCATTTCCTGTTTATGAATATGATATTGATAATTCATTACTGATGAGACAAGACAATCTTCAGGAAACAACAGATATGAATGTGACATTCCTACTCCTCTGAAATAATGATATTCCACTGAAGCCACACTATACCTTTTGTCAATAAATCTTTGGATACTCAGTTATTGGAGCAGAATGCTGAGTCAAAATATTTGAAATGGATAGTATGTCTGCTAACAAGTATCTGTCACTCTCGGTTTTTTAACAAAATTTCCATCAAACCCGCCGATGACGCGCGGTGCAGCAATTTACTGGATTTCGGTATGAAAAATCAGTAGATTCAGTTAGTTGAATTCGGAATTTAGCCTCAACCATGCCGCAAATGCATACGAATCACCCACCAAACAATGGGGAAATATTTTCTTGAAGTAACCCAATTGAATTATTATTACAATCCCGTAAAATTCCAAATCTACTAAAAATTTAGTTTTCGTTGATCTCTAAAAAGAGAGTTACCTATTTTTTTCACTATAGGCACAGAAGCAAGAGATTTTATGCTGCGACTGGGGTTTCATAGCCGAAGCTAGGAAACCAAACGAAGCATTGAATCATGTTTTCAGCCATGTGGAACAGAATGTTTCCTTCAAACGTTATAAAACCAATGCTGATAACTTTTCAGCTTAGGCAGTGGAAATACACTTTTTATGCCTGTTAAGTGTTTATGTAATGCCACTTTTATTGTCTTCTGGAAAAAAAATAGATCTCAAGTACTAAATTCCGAATGAAAAATCCTCGTTGAAATAGACAATTCTATTAATTTTCAGGTTATTCTTCAATATAAATCTTCTCGAACTTGGTACACAAATGACTAAAATAGCTCCCTTCCTAATAGTATCAGAAATTAAGAGAAAGAAAGCTGCTTGTCTGATAAGGAATCGTGAGAACTGGGATTGTGAGGCTATAATTCACAGTTGCTTCTGTGAATAATTCGATGTGTAGGAAAAGAGTTACCTCTGGATGATTTACAGTTGCAACTGTAGATCAGGCAAACTTCTTCCAAAACATGACTCAATTTACAGTTGCGACTATGAATAAGGAGATGATTTGAGAAAAAAAGTTTCTGTTGCTCGATTCACAGTTGCAACTGTAAATCAAGTGGTATACAATTTTTTTTACCTAATCCACAGTTGCAACTGTGAATAAGTACTTATTCATAGTGGCAACTTCGAGACAAAAATGTTTCTTCAGGACGACAGTTCAGAGGCGTCCTAACATGAAAATAAAATCTTTTCTGCAACGAATATTTCGAATAGGTTCACTGATTGTGATCATCCAACCCTATTGCTTGCCCCTTTATATTGATATTTGCTAATCAGCAACACACCAGTGATCACACGTTATATATGTCGGACAAGCACAATCAATCACCTAGAATAATTCCATCCAGAATATATTCTTCAATCATTTAATGTTGAAATTCATTCTACAATTATCATGTCACGTAAGTACCTTATGACGAATACTGTTTAGTGTGGAGCATCACAAAACTGGTTAACGATTCCAAACATCGATTATTTTTTCGCGAAGCATGAAGTGTCTATAAAAATTATCGTTATCAGAAAAAATATTCTAGGATGCAATATATAGGATTGAGAAGCACTCAGCAATTATAATATAACAGATATAAGCAATGCATAATCAGATACTCAACCACATTGACTATAACTCCTATACTCAATAAGTTCAATTCCGTGAGCTCTCTGAAACTTGAATTTGTTTTTGATTATCAGAATGTTATTCCGAGCGAAAGTTGTCCCAAGAACTCGATATGATAATATGATTTTGTTATAGTAATCTCGATTTATTCTAGGTATGAGCCACGCCGATGATTTGGGTTACATTTTCAACATAACCTGTAATCCTGATATGAAAATTGGTGAAGTCGAAGAAAAGGCAATGAGGCGTGTCGTGGAGTTATGGACCAATTTTGCGAAGTATGGAAACCCCACACCAGAGGGCAATAAACTCAATGTCCAATGGAAACCGATTGAAGGGGATCACTTGCATTATTTGGACATCACAAATGATGAATTAATCAGCGATAAGAATCCACAGTTGGAGAGAGTTAATGCATGGAGAGAAATATTCAATGTTAGTTCTCATACTGTTGGATATATGTAATTGACTCAATAAAGTGTATCCTGAAACCCCCGATTTCACTTCTCTCAATGCTTCACGATGAACATTTTCATGGAATTGATTCAGTATTCATTGCAGAGCTGGATATTTTCAACATTCGCAAAATTGCTGCTAGTGCAATTGGATGAACATCGTGAAATCATTCGTTTTATTATTCTGGTTGCATGAAGCTTCTTGATTTCAACTCGAAATGATTCATATACCTTTCTACTATTTCTGAATAACTCAATGAGAGATCATCTCTTCAAGTCACCAGCTTAGGAATACGTTGCCAAGGATATAAACATATCGAATTTTCAATCGTTCCCCGAATGGAAACTTCGTGAAAAATAATTCAATAACACTTTGGGGAGGTTCATCGTGAATAATGTGGAAAAAACAACTCCATTCAGTTTATCAGGGGTAACCAAACTCAACTGTTGATATTGAGGTGAGGTATATACTGGGTGTCAACTGATCTATTTGACAGATCATTACACCTAGAATAGCTGGTGTATCGAAATGAGACCCACTATCCGTCACCAAGGATGGCTTCATATTGAATTTTTTTGATAAAAACCCCGTGTATCGAAATATTCTTGGTTTGATGAAAAGATAATGGTTCAAAATGGGGTTCCCCTGAAAGTAATAACGCCGACTTTATCACTTCAGAGTCACTTTCGATATTGCACAAAAATTCAGGAACTCCTACTTTTTGCTCATAAAGCACATATGTCACTGTAATTATTCAACTGAAAGTTTCATTTTCCAAAGAAGACTTGATGAGACTGACTGCGAAATATTATGCATAATGGCACACTTGACATGAACAGTACATATATTTCTATCCAGTATTTTCCTTACTTATATTCAATTTATGAGTTTATTTTCAATTTATCCACAAATGCATAAGTATCTTTAGAATCGTCTGAAAAATCATGTTCCGTAAGTGCTTGTCGAATAATACTATGAATGTTATTTCGCAAACTTGTTCCATCTCTCTATCTCTCATATATATAGTCACTGAAATTTCGTGATTGTAGAGTTTCATGATATCATCTCATGTGTCGTTATATTAGTTTCGTCTGATCATGGCTACCCAGGTATGATATTGGAAAACGACTACAAGATATTAGAGAAGGCGATGGAATTTTCGAAATGTCACATTCTTATTCAAAATTGTCTGAAGAATCAGAAAATGTTACAAAATACATAATATTCCATTCAAGAATTAGAAACTGGAGCCATTTCCGGTAAAACCGAAAGTTACTGATGAAAGGTAAAAAATAAGCGGAAACTCTCTTTTCCACATACTATTCACATATACCCAATATCCTACATTCGGAGAAAAGTCTGGCGGTGCAACGAATGCTTTCGATGACCGCTGTACGCCTCTCGCCCCTCTATCACCAGTAAGCGTGCATCTGTCGGAGTTCTATCCCATGATATTGGCAGATTCATTCAGTGTGCTGCTGAAAATATTGATATATTGGAAGAAACATTAGTTAAATCACCAACATTTCATGGTACACGAATTGCAGCATTTCAGCGCGGTCCGGCGAATGGATATATATCATGTCATACAAAATTATTGCCATATATAACACCAAATTGTCAATGTCTGCCCAGTTAACACAGGATATCTTATGGATATCCATTTCAAGTCCTATTCAAGGCGGGATATCCGTGGACATAAAATGTATATCCATAAGATATCCGATTGCGGATGTACTTGAGAAATCCGAAACAAACGTCATGAATACGTCCATAGGATATCCATAAGATACAGAGACGGAAGATCAATACCTAGAAATTTCAAATCTAGTATATACAATGAATGAAATGATAAATAAATAAAAGGATATCCACAAAATTAACACTTGTGCGTGGGTCTTCCAAAAAATAGCACATATTGTGATGCACTATCTACTATTATTATTAATTCGGTTTTCAAAAACAGCGTGAGGTTGCGTAACGTCTCGAATAGTCCAAGATTGGTAGAACTGATGATTATTTATAGATCATCGATTCTACCAACCTTGGAATAGTCAAATAATGTCAATCTGTTTTCATATTCAATTAATTTGAAGTGAATTTGGAAGTGATTCCTACGAATTCGTCCAAAATTGATGATGCATAAGAACTGTCAACTACATTATTCGAACGCAGTGAGACGTGGGTGCTTCCTAATTTTTGTGATTTTTTCAATATAAATAGAAAATATAGGGTAAACCTACTATCTCTTATCCATATCCATAGTTGATATCTTATGGATATCCATAATGAATATCTCTGAGGCATCCAAAAAGGTCACACTGTCACATCCTATGGACGTCCAATGGATATACCAGAGACTTTTTCGGATATCTTATGGACATCCACAATATCCATGATTGATATCCATAGTATATCCATAAGATGGTGTACTTGTGCTATCTGGGTGAATATTTTCATTCTCATCAAGAATCAATATCTGATTCCGAATCAGAAAGTGATTGACTTTGTTATTGTTATCTCCAAATATTAACCCATTATGAAGTTATGTACATGCAAATTTTTATTTTCACATAAAACAATGACTGTATCTTATCATTTTGAGTGAGCTAAGCTGAAACTTCATCACATCCTAAATCCATCTTTTCTCCTCTTTTTTAGTTTTCCACAATGTTGCTGCGACTCGTAATAATTTTGGTAACGACAAAAACAGTTTGTATTGATAGATTGATTGAATAGCTGCTTTTTCTTTCCCAAAAAATCAAATTGTTGAATGTTAACCATCCTAAATTGTGAATGATTTCGTTCCACATACTGCTTGCTGGTGCCCGCCGTGAGACGGACTGAGACACAAGAGTCTCGAGATCATACCCGTGTGTTCACCGAACACGCTCGATCGTTACCTAAGCGGTGGGGAGACCGAGACAGGAAAGTAAGCAGGAAAGCAGACAGTCATGATACAATGAGTGAGCAGGCAGCATCTCTCATGCTGTCTCTGTTTGTAGTAGTTGTAGTACGGGGTGGGCCACCAACAGTTTTCTTGATCACATTTCAACATTTTTTTTTTCGAATAAATAATTAACATTTGATAGGCATCAAGTGATCTACTGCGACCCATCAGATAATGAAAGCGATGATTTGATTTGCAATAATTCGCTATGTCACGACGAGTCCTACATGTAAATAGCGAATCACTCATCGAAAATCATGAAACTATATGTACATATTATATGATATGCTTATGTTTTGTTGGCGAGGACGCTCGTTTTATTCAAATTATGTTCGATAATGTTCATCTGCTTCACTAGAAATTATTATTAGTAGTTATGTAGTACTTAGTAGCAGCTTTGTTATTCAGAATGGAACACCTTATATTTTATTACATTTTTCGATTCTTCAAATTGAGCTATGATTTCGTTGATCAAGCTCAAGGTATACCTATACGTAGAATGTGAAAAATCGAGATTTTTTTTGTATCGAAACTATACAATTCCTATATAGATTTGTCAAAATGGCTTACATGTGTCCCTATCCTAACATTCTATTTACTATCTACTGATGCCATTTAATTGAAACAAATACAGGGTGGATCAGATTTCAGATTTATATAAAAGAAGTACTAGTATGCTTACTAAAAAATATATATATATATATTTGAAATAAGCAAAGCAAACATATTAATACATACATACATACAAAAACACACTCTAATATTCAACATAAAATAAAATTCAATCCCACTGGATGTATTTAAAAATATAAACAGTGTGCATGTCACTTCTATAATGGAATATCAACCCGTATATCTAACGTAACTGTTCAATTTTAAGGAGCGATAGATATATATATACCAACTATGACCAAAGTGAGGTAATCTTCAGTGAAAAACACTGCTCTGGTCATGGACCCACCAACATTTCCGGAAAATGATATTAGGAGGCAAGATAGGTTGAAAATCACTTCGGATTCGAAATCAGGACGTAACCCTGTACCTCGAAAACGAAGCAAGTTTAGGACACATGTTTATATGACCTTTATTCATCATATTATATCACAAGGAATCATCCCTTGAATTATTTCGGTGATATTTAGATACACCCTGTATAGATCATTCTTCATCCCAATATAGTTATTCAACATTTTTCCCATAGCGAAGTTCAGCAAATACCGATGGCGAGAGCACTATTTTTATTGATTCGATGTCTACCTATAATATAATTATGTAAAACAAGAAGGCACAACTACTAGTGTTCCGTTTCGAAGTACATTAAATTGACAAATTTGACTCCAAAATAATTCAGGCACGCGCCAATATTCATAACGTAGTTACTGCTGCCCGTTTACGTTTCCCCACCGCTTAGGGAACGATCGGGCGTGTTCGGTGAACACACGGGTATGATCTCGAGACTCTTGTGACTGAGACGTGCTGAGACCGAATCAGGGTACCGCGCTACACCGTTGATTGATATATTACGCTTACGCGAGTTACGTTTCCATATTCCTGTTATTCACCTCAAGAACACACGAGTTTGACTCTCATCAGCGGATTCAGCAGTTTCGTATTTCATTTCTATGAATTATATCACACCATTTTTGTCTCACGAATTACTTGTAAATTTCATTTAATAAAGTCAGTTCTCTCTTGTACCTTGAAGGAAAAACATTGCTTTTTAAAAACGTTCCTCGATTTTCCAACTTCCTAATTGGCGCATTCGGTAGGATGTGGTAAAAAGGAAACTATCGTAGAATCCTTTTAAGTCTCAACTTTTAATTACCACATTCGAAAATTCGGACAGTTGTACGGAATTCGGGTCAGTCAAATTTTGGGCGAACTGAGTAACTCAAAACTTTGACAAAAAACGTATAAAAGCGAATCGAAAACCGGGTACCATATTTTGAAGGTAGTATCGCACTATCTTGGGTGGACGCCGATTCTTCGAGAACTTCAAGTACAAAGAAGCTCAACCCCTGGTGAGGACAAACATCGCCGAAACCAGAACCATAGCCTAAGGACCATAGAATAAGAAGACTAGCTTAAGAC